ATATCAAAGATTAAGCTAATAAAAACCAACTGGCATTGTCGCCAAAGTTCAAAAAAAAAAAAAAAAAAAAAAAAAAAAAAGACAAATTATTTTTAAATAATTTTTTTTTAATTTTTAAAATAACTTTACAACTATTTAATCAAATTTGCTAAAAATTTTTTTATTTTAATCTTGAAATTATATAGAATTAAAATAAAAAAATATTATTAAATTTAATAAAATAGATGTTGAGATATTTAAGCTTAAAGTCAAGAAAACTTTTACTTAGAAAAAATTTGTTACTTTTTTATTGACTCAACTTTCATATAAACAAAACCTCATCTTAAATATATAAAAAAAAATTGTTATATTTTACTAACTCTAAACCTATTCAAAACGTCATAGATTATATTATCAAAAATGTTAACAATATTATAATATCTGTATATACTGTATATATTAATTAAAAAAACAATATTTGTTTAATAGTAGTCAAATTATTTTATTTAATTATAAAGTTTAATTTTGATTCACTACGTACTATTTTATTAAAAATAGGTTTACAAAAAATTCGATCTGATGGTAGCTTTAACATTTTTTTGAAGATTTTGTGTTTATTGTTTTTTTTTTTGAATAAGAATTAGCAGTTTGAATTTAATCAAGTTTATTAGTGAGAACTAGATTGTCTTACTGTAATTCAAAATTTTGAAATATTGTTGGCATATAATAGCCTACTAAGCCGGCTAGCCGTATCAAAATAAACACGGCTAAGCTTATAAATTTTTAATCAACTATAATCACTATCTTGACCTGCTACGATATCTGTGTGTTTCCGAGCTTTCCCTATGCCGGCGTCTGTTTTCGCCATCTTTACCATCTTTAGTTCTGTTACTATGACTGTGTCGACTTTGATGGTATGATATATGACGCTTTTTATGTTTATGATTACTACTACGATAATCATCTTTGGAAGAAGCATTCAAATGCTTAGATCGAGACCCCCTTCTGTCGTGATCATCTTTTTCCGGAGATTCGTGTCGATGATGTGAACGATGATATTTACTTCGATGTTTATGAGATGATGAATGACGTCGTTTTTCAGGCGATGAAGGAGGGTATTTTTCAGGGGAAGGAGGCGTAGTAGGTCTATCATCATTCACAGACATTCTATCATCATCCAGTAACAGAGTGTCATCATCATTTGTGGATACGTCGATAACGTTGTCATCGTCATATATTCCGTCATCAGGCACTAATTCTTCAGGAGCTAGTATTGGTTTGGGAGAGCGCGACCGCGTTCGACGGTCAATATCTTCTGAGAGTTGTTCAGTAGACGCTGGAAGACTGACCCTGTCATTTGGCATATCCGTGTCAATATTGTGGTTGGAACTATGATATTCGGATTTGCCATTCTCATGATTCATTGATCTATCAACCGGTGATCTCGTTCGAGACCGGTTTTTAGTATCTTCGTAATCAAGTCGTTCATTAGACAAAGAGTTATTACGATTGTCTTCTTTTCGATCATCTATTGAATCATGTTTAGGATCTCTCCTTTCGTTAATAGATCCAGATTTTTCGTAACGTGAATTGTATGATTCACGACGGTCATCTCGTCTCTCGTTTGTTGATTCACGTCTATCATTTGTTGATTCACGTCTATCATCTCTCCTTTCTGATATAACGGAGCTTCTCCTGTCGCCTCTCCTCTCAGACAAATTAGAATCTCGTCTACTTTCTCTTCGTTCAGATAAATTAGACTCACGCCTATCTTCCCTTTTTTCAGGCATGGAATACCGACGGTCATCGTAATATCGGCGGTCTGCAGAATATCGACGATCTTCTTTTCTGTCAACAAATACCTCCCGACTACGACTGCGACGCCTTGAAGATATCGATGTTTTTCGTCGAGCATCAGGAGATGAACGTTCATGTCTTGAAGGAGATCTGCTATGACGCGAATCATGTCTCCGTGATGATTGATGATGAGATCTACTTCGGCTTCGACTTCTACGTGACCTTTCTTTACTTCTACTACGAGTTGGAGCTTTGTCTCTAAGTCTTCTATTCTCTATTTCGTCATCTAATATCGCGTCCCTGTCGCGCCTATCACGATCAGAAGTATGAGAAGGAGACCTTTTATCCCGAACTTCGACGTCTCTTTCGGCAGAAATACGCGATGCAGACGATTTACGTCGTGCTAAATCACGTCCAAAATCATCTACAAGTCGATCTTCTTCCTCATCACGATAATCAGACCTTCAAGATACAAAATAATAATAATCTTAGTTTTACAAATGATTACGATTTATTCACTCAATTTACTTACATATCTCGTCTTCCAATCGAAGGCGGAACGCTTGATTCTCGTCTGAAATCACCCATTCCACGCCCACTAGCAAATGATGAGCGATCACTGAAAAATCCTGGGCTAGAACCTCTTCCGCGGCCACGAGCACGATTCGGAAAATTTCCACGTGGAAACCCTCCACGAAAATTGCCTCCTCTGAATGGTTGCATTCCTGCACTACCTCCCATTCCACCCATATTTCCTGCAAACGGCACAAAGTTGCCTTGTGGTGGCATCATTGGCCTATTATCCCAGAATTCGTCGTATACCGGTGGTCTAAAATGTGGCATAAATTGTGGTTGTGAAGGGAATGGTTCTGCGGGATAAAACCCTGAATCGAAGTATGATGGGTCATAATAACCTGGCCCATTCATCATATTCATACCCATTTGAGGATAAACTAATTACATTTATATTTAATAGAAATTAGCAAAACGGTCCTTTAACTAACACTTAATTATTTTTCTTACCTTCGTCATACCAATATCCTTGATTTTGATCATAACCAAATCCATAATCATTATAATAACCAAATGGTCCATACCCCTGTGATGCTACAGGATTTTGGCCAAAAGATTTTCCTGAAGTATTTGAATATTGATGTCGCTGCATTTGTGACTGTTGAAAATGTTGCGATTGTTGTGATGAGTGTGATTGAGACTGATGTGTTGGTATTTGCGATTGTGGGATAGGCGGAAGATCATGCGTTGGTTTCTTTGGTAACTCCGTTTTAGCATTCTGAAAAAGCCAGAAACATGTTTTACATTTAAGGCTTTATCGTTCATAATAGAAATAATTAAATATTAAAACATACCAACTCGGTTTTTGCTTTTGAAATTTGAGGAGATTGACTAGAATTTTCTACACTATCAAGTCCCGTCTCTGACAAACCACTTGCGCTTTTTTCCTTTTCTTCTGTTTTTACAAGTTCATTTAATGAATCTGTAGTATCTTTTTCCACAGATAGATCTACGTTATTGTTTGCTACCAGAGGATCTTCTAACATTTCCATATTATTTCCTTCATCATCCTCATTAGGTTCCGGAACAGTGGGTTCGTTCCTACGTCTAGCCCAATCCCTTAGATGACCATCGACTGCCTCCCGCGCCGCCTTGTTTGGTACTAACTCATCGGGTACCAAATGAGATTGACAATTTGGGCACTTGAATTGTTGATCGTCTTGTTCGGGATTAATTAGAGCATGGCGAATACCTAATGATAATTTAATTTGTCCGGTTTATTTTACCAATTATTTTTTATTATTAAAAAAATAATGAAAGCAATTCGTTAGTGAACGATAACCTAGCTTGAATTTTATCGAGTAGATTTGATATAAGGTGCTGTAAAGTTAGTATTTAAATGAAACAAAAGTTTCGTGGCAAAGATGTTAATTGCTCTTATACATATTCCATTTTCTTTTGATTCACTGGATCTTTGTGATACCCTAAATTGAATGCTTGATTGCCAAAGGAAATCATCCATTATATTATCTTAACATTATCGTTACTATTAATACATATTCACATGAGCATTGAAAAAAATTCATGCCATTCTGGAAAAAAGAATATATCTCCTTTCCATTAAATTGGCAAAAGCATTTAATATTAAGGTATCACTAGCTAAAAGTGTTGATCTATACTTCCATATATCATAAGATTGAGGAAAAAACTTGGAATTTGATAATCATTCAGACCCACTAAACTAGAACTCGAGATTTTTAAGAACTCTGAACCTCGAGAAATAAAAATGAAAGGGTTATATTTATTTTGCAGCAGATAAATTGCAAACAAAACTAAAATATAATTTGCAATAAAATTAAGGGGAAATTTATAAAACAGAAGAATCGATAATATTATGTCTACTCTAGCCTGTCTAAACTGTCTATAAATCTCATAAAGCAATTCTAAAAAGTGTTGCCGATATGGACAACGATAACAATACGTACATTCATCACAAAATGAAGCCCGACAACACGGAGTAATAACAGCTTCTTTCAGAAGTCGAGAACATAGCATGCATTGAAGTTCGGCTGGAATCGGTAGCGTATCTTCTAGAACTTCATTAGATGTTACATATGATTTCTGACGAGCGTGAAACTTTTGCCAAGCAGCCCTAAATTGATGGTAACGTCAATAAGATATTGTATAATACATCTTGTTATTGCCGGCGTTGTTTTATAATGAAACATTAATGCTTACTCATTTGCTTGTGCAATAACCAGGTTGCCATCTTGTGTGACAAGAACGCCTTTCCCTGGTGGCACTTGTTCTACTTTTTGTAAAAAACTTCTCGGTATACCAGTTGTTTTTCTGACCTTCATATGATCAAAGGATCTGTCACCATTTGTCGGGCATGCTTGAATCCAGTGGCCTATAAATGTTCAAATCATCAATTCAATGTCGCACATACTTCAAGATGTATATTTATGTGAAAATAAATACCTTTCTGTCCACATCTATAGCATACATAATTTGGCGGCAAAGTTTTTTGAACCGGTGGCTTGACTGATGGACGAACTTGATTAGGTCTTCGAAGCGCTGGTTTTCTAAAAACATATAATTAAGATACAATTTATTATAATCGTACATCTTGATATTACAATAACATCAAATAAAACTTACGAAGCCATCTGCTCTTGAGTTATTTCCCAAAACTCTTTCGATTGTGCAAACATTGCCTGAATTTTATCATCTTCTGTCTGATGCTCGTTTGTTTGCTGAGTAGCAGGAGTTGGAGTTAAACGAGACACCTGTTGAGGCTGCTTTGATGGGTCAAATGTTTTTGACATAGACCTACAGGTTTAAATACTACATGAATCAAAGATAATTTAAAATCAGGACAGTAATCAACAAATTATATTTACCCGTTAGCGGATACTATACTTCCTCTGTTATTAGTTACATAATTACGTTGCGTTGTAGGTCCTCCACCTTCCAAATAACGATGTGCGGTCCCTTTCCCAGGTTTAGTTGGGACGCGCTTTACTACAATTGGGGTATTTCTTGGTATGGTCGCAGTATCTTCTTGATAATCTACGAGTAATTGATTTTTGATTAAATGATCCGATTGTTTTGAAAATATAGTAAAGGGCATTACCATGTTTTTATAGCAGCACAGAGCTAGTGTAAAAGCTAGATCTTACCTTCACCCGATTCAGCGTGAGATACTATAATGTCAAAGTCATTTCCCTTTAATTTTTTTGCAGTCAGAATTTCCTTTTTGACGTCAAATACAGAGATACCCAGCCCATCGAAGGTAAGTGTATCGTAATCTTTGGCACTTTTAAACTTGTAATAGATTTGAGATATAATTTGAGACATTTAAACGAAATGTTAACGTTAGTAATTGAATATCTACACTATTATATCAGATCAAGTGAAATAGTACGTAATATCACATGATTCCGTATCAGTACCACAACCGGACAATCTACGGACAGTTCTTAGGGACAGTTCAAATCACATGAATAGTTAGTTAGGGACAGTGAGGGTTAGTGGTTTTAGTAATATCACATGAATCGCACTGTCTCTAACTGTTTGTAAGAACTGTCTGTAGACTCAACGATCCAGCATACGTAGCGGGCTTTCTCTATTTTTTATTAGCAAATCATTTTGACGGCGGCGCAGCAATTTCGTCCAATCAGAGACAGCATAGAAGTACCCTAGCCATGGCGAAAACGAGGTGTCGGGTCATGTGATTTCAGACGCTCTGAATGACCCACCAATCAAAATCCAGTTCTGGTGTACCATTAAATTTTACGAAACACAATAAATATATGGTTATTTCCTTTTATTTATGTTGCCTTCGATTGTTTTGATTTTTAGATATCAGACTGGATGCTTCGGAAGTCACATGACCAGATACTTCGTTTTCGGCTTTCAATTGTATTTTGTACCAGACACAATCTTTTACAAATTAAACAGATTGTGTACTATACAAAATATAATTGAAAGCCTAATGACAGGTTTTTCACTCATTTATTTAGGAATTTTAATTGGTCTTTTGGGACCAAATTCTTACAATGACCTATAGAAATTAGGCCTTAAATATATAAAAACACAATACATTTTATAAAACTTGAATTCTAAATTAAATTATTTAATAATACAAAATTAATTTAATTGAAAAAATTCATTTAATAAATCTAATTCAGAATTTGTTATTTTTTTTCAATATTAAGGTGACCTCTTTGGTTCTAACTTTTTATTAATACTTATATTAGATATATGTTTTATATAGATATATCTATAATAAACTATCAGATAAGTATACAATTGGCTATATGTGTAACATTTCTATATTACCTATTTAAAGAGTTCATCTAAAGATTTCTTACTAGTTGTTATATTTAACACTCCTGCTTAGATGTTCCATTTAAACCCTCTGATCTTGGTATTAATTTTACTAGGTCACAGATCCAGATTTATTCATCTTTAATTATAGAATTATAATCTTTAGATTATTTTTATTTTTAAAATAACCTATTAGAGTAAGTTATATTCTCTTTTACTGCTAATCTGGTTTGATGTTATAGTCAAGATTAACACTTGTAGTTAGAGTTATTCATTAAATTACTAATACTTTTATAAATTTATTCAAACTCTGATACCTATCTTTCCAAATATCTTCTCTATTATTCTTTACTAATTATTACTTAAAACTAATAAAACTTTTCAGACTACCAATCCAAATAGTTTGATATAATATACTTGTGTATTCTTTTCTTCTAGTAAATCTGATAGTCTGGTTAGTATATGTATTTTCCTTACATACCTGTTGTTCAGTTTATCTAACAATTTTTTTGAAAGTGTTTTATAAGCTTCTGATAAATCAACAACATTATTAAAAGTTTGTGTTATCTCTTTATTCAGAATTTCTAAGTAGATTTCTGTTTTTTTGATTTCTTAGTTTTCTATACCTGATGGTCTTATTATAGGTTTGCATTAAAGTCTTATATGACATCAGTTTTTCATATTTCTCTACATATATTTAACATTACATTTTGCATAGATGTTCCAAGCTTTCAAAATCAGGTAGGTCCCAATTTAATATATTTAAGATTACAGATATATAAACTCAACTGATCAACAAGAAACAGTTATTATAATACAGATATAATTTCTAAAATTTGTTATCTGTAAGAATTAAACCTTAGACCTGTTAATTGAGAATTAACAACCTTTCTACTTTACTAGATTGTTACACTTCTTTATTTAGAATTTGTTATAAGATCTGTTCTATAAAATATATTAAATTTTTATATAATTTAAAAAATTAAGTTTAGAATTATCTTTTAGATTTTAGAATTAGACTGAATCAGATTTGCAATCTAATATTTTTATATTTATTGATTTATTTATATTAAAAAATATATAGTAATTACAAAATTTATATTAAAAATTATTGATTTATATATAAAAAAATATATTAATTATTCTTTTTTTTTACTTTTGCTAAAGCTGTTAGTTATTAGTAACTATTGCCTTTATTGTAATTTAATTATGATTATATAATTTGTACAAAGTAAGTATACAACTACAGTACCAGACAGTATAAGATATCTACTATTGATTAAAATACCAAATTTAAAGTAAGGATAATATAAAACATTCACTTTTTATTAAAGATGCCAAATTTAAATAAAGACAGTATAAGACATCTAATTTATAATTATAAGAAATACTAAATTTACTAATCTATATGGCTAGTTTTATTTATTAAATTTATATTACTTTTGCAATTACACAGTTATATGCTTGTTAAACATTTTACACTTTTACATAATATGTAATTGACCTGCTTTTAATAAACTGGATAAAATTCATTACCCAAAATTTATTTCAGATTATGCTATTTATTACATCGTTAAAATCATATCGTATGATCTAAAATAAATTTGAGTATATCTCCAATTACATGTTTTATCTTTACAAAGCACTTCAGTATGATTATAATTAAGTTTTAGCTCTAATATATAGATTTATTTTAGTATATCAATATCATTTGAATACTATAAAAAAAAAACTTGCAAATTTTATAAAATTTACAGGTTTTCTCTTTGTGGTGCAACAAGTTAAAGCATAAAATTTAATTCTACTCAGCATTAATATTTTTTATTAACTAATAAATTTAATTATTTTTGTGCAGCATTAATAAGCCAGATTTATTAACAAACCTTTAGTCTTATTATAGAAGACTATTTTAAATCAAAAAAATGCTTTTCTAAATTCTAATTTAAATTGAATTAACTTGATTTATAATATTTTCATTAATTGATCGATGCTTTTTATATTTTTTACCATATATTTAACAGTTTTTTCTGTCAAGCTATGTTAATAAGCATCCATTCATCTAAATGACAATCTAGCAAATGAACAGATTCTTTCAATCAGAATAGAGTCAAAAGACTTAATAATTATTTGTCTAAGTATTAGAAAAGAATATTTACAATTATCCTAGATGTACTTTTTGGCAGCCCTCTAATACATTTCAATATGATTAAATTTGAGATAAAACTTGGGATAAAATATAACCTAAAAAAATTTTAAATAAAAAATAAAATAGCCAGCAATAAAAAAAATAAAATAAATAACATAAAAAAATAAAATAAAATAAATAACATAAAAAATAAAATAAAATAAATAATAAAAAAAATAAAATAAAATAAATAAGTTACTTTATATCTATAGGATTTAATTTCTTGCTAAACTTGTTTATGTTATGCAAAAAAATTAGATTGACTAGCTATTAGACAGTATGCACAACAATTGACAACATTAGAGTTTGGCTCCTTTTTGTATGAAAAACATTCTAAGACTATTTCTTCTTGCTATAATCCTTTTTCGTTTAGAACTCACTTAAGTCCTTTTGGCTAATCACATAAATTGATATATAACTTTGTCTTATTATTATAAATAAAGTAATCTTTTTCAATTACTATTGATTAATGGTTCCCATTTCACACAGTATCTCACATTTTTGGAACAAAACCATCTAGAAAAAGGTTCATTTTTGAGGATACAAAAGCATTCTCAGCAAAAGCTTTATAAGCTATGATGTTATCGAAAGCAAAAATACCTATAAACATTAATAAAATGTTTTTTAAATTACTTTTATTATATTATAAAACTTTGTATTAAAAAAAAAAAAAAAAAAAAAAGCAACTTTTAAAAAGTTTTTTAATCTAATATTTTCTATCCTACTTACACATCCTAAATGTATTCTTTCAAAAATATCTATTATCTGTCTAACTTAACTAATAAGCTTTTTTGTATTCCAAAACCTATTATGACATGACCCTAATACCATCATTACATATGCCTTTTTAAGATCATCTTTAAGTAATTCAATCATTTCTATTAGAAAATTACTAACATATATATCAAGATCTATTCCTTTCTTCCTTAATAGTTGCTCTTTTTCTAGGCTCCACATTGCATATAGTTCATTATTAACATGAAAAGTGAACTCATTATAGGTTACTTAGACATGTTCCTTTTCTTCATCAACTAACAGTAGATAGGTTCTGATTTTACAATCTTCATCATATCATTTGGATATAAGTTGTTCAAGTTCACTGACTTTTTGAAGAAAGACTTAATAATAGATAACTATGTCTAGTCATTTATGACCATCGATGTAAATATCTTTCTTATAGTATTTATAATAGAAACTAAGCTTGTGCAACCATTTGTGAGCCGTTCAAAGAAAGATCTGTTATACAGATTCAACACTTAATTGTGAGATAATTTGTTGTTTAACATAGTTTTTAACTATTGTTGAATTTATTTTAAACTTTTAGGAATGCAGATAAGTAGCCAATTTGAGTAAGACTAATTTATTGTTAAGTAAACTTTTTGAAGTGAACTTGTTACAAAAGTGTTGAATCAACTCTTCTGCAATTGTGTAAAAACAGTTTGTTTTTTTTTGTTTTTTTATAATACTAATTATAATACTTTATTTAATTAATACTGGATTAATATATTAGAGTTATTATATTTTATTTGTGCTACTATATTACTATATAGACACCCAACATGACATTATATCTACACTTTCCTAAATTAAGACTAGTACTATAATGTTTCAACTATTGTTACTAATTAAGGTAAAGTTGTAGCCATCTTGTAATATTATATTTTCTAATTCTATCTAACTATAGTCCCCCTATCTACTTCTTGCAGTAATCTATCTCTTCTTTTAAATTGATTGACTCTGACAGTTTCTTACTCTTTTTGCTATTAATTTGGTGTACACAGCTCTTTATGTATTGGTACTAATTAGTACAACTGGATTTATCAAGATTCTGGATTATTATCTGCAGCTATTACATATTCTTTTTTGTGTATTCCTATAGTTGTAATACTATTGTACTTCCAATTTGGTATTGCAAGAGAGTCTGGAACCTTGACTTATTATGTATGAGTATAGTAACCATTAATGATGTTGTAATGTATGACTATTGTTTTGCTTCTTAAAGGTTTATAGTACTTGTCTAAGATGTTCTAATTTTGGTTAGACCAATCCTTTGTCACAGATCTTCTTTGCATACACTGCTTCACTCACCACTCTAGTTTAACTACATTAGTATTACCCTTTCAATCAAGTTTCTGCAAGTTGAATACAGAGATGTTGATGCTGCCTCATCTCAATAGAACTTATCCATGCAATACTTTTAGTAGTAGAACCTTCTATAACACTACTGTCACACATAGTGCCTTCTTTCTGCAAAGTTAATTTCTTTCCAGGAATTTCTAATCCTTCTTGTACTTTATCTTGAGACTTATTACAGGGCTTCGCATCCAATTTGGCTTCTATATTAGGTTATAGAGTTAAAATTCTTGAATTTTGCCTCTAGCCTGACTTGAACTGTTAACCTCATCTGTAGAAAGTTGGCAGCTTAACAATTAAGCTATGAAGCCTAACTTCTGTAAAAACAGTTATTAATTTATAATGATAATAAAAAAAAAATTAAAATTAAAAATTAAAAAAAAAAAAAATTTTAACAATTAAATAATAATAAAATAAAAAATAAGAACATACCTTTCATACAAATATTTGCCTATTTCCTAACACACCTTGTAAACCATGATCCATCTCCAACTACCTTAGCAACCATCTTTGAAATTTCAAATTTTTTTTTATCATTAAATAACAACCAGAAAAAATATAGAGTTGCTGTATAATAGGCTTTCTTAGTTTTTGAAAGTTTTTTCTCATGAATTACTTTGCTCACAAACTCAATTGCATCAGCAATTTTTTTTTCTTTATCAGTCATGCCCTTATTATCATCATCCTTGTCTTGTTCAGTTATACTTCTATTATCAACATCATTCTTATTTTCATAAGAAGTGGAAAAAAAAACTGTGTAAGTTTTAAGGATTCCATCATGGCTTCTCTTATTGTTTTATTTTTTTCACTGTTTTGTTTGCTTTGAATTTCTAATATAAACTATTAAGCAGCTTTTTTTAAAAAAACTTGTAGCTGATGCTATAAGAAGACAGTTAATAACTAAATTTACTCTATTGTTATCATTGGCTTGAAAATAATCATTCTCTTAGGTATCATAATCATTGCCAAAATTAACCGAATTATTGGTTTCAAATTCATCACTTAAGACAAGATTAATGACTTTGGTTCTGGTGGTTCTAGTAGTGCTAGTTCTGGCAGTAGTGCTAGTTCTGATAATGATGCTAGTTCTGGCAATAGTGATGCAGAAGCTGGTACTGGCATCACAGATATTGGCATTTGTCAACCATATAGATCGAGCTAAATTTGCTCTTTTTTTTTGCAGTTGTTTTAACACTTTCTTTGGTATTTTGATTTAAAAAAAGTTGATAACAATATGATCTGTTTAAATCTTTTCAGATGTTTGATTTTAGTTGGTCATTATATCTATATGATCAAGGTACATTGATTTTTATTGACTTATCACTTATAATCACATAAAGATCTATATGCCAAATTCTCAATTTATATATAAAATTGCTAATGTTTAACTTGTTATAACTTGGTCAAAAATAAAAATAAAAAAATTCCTTTTACAGAAATATAGTTTGACTAAAAAACTATTAATTTGTAAGAGGATTTTTTTTTAAATAATTTATTGTCAAGTTATATTATTTTTTGCTAAGCTAAAAAAATAGAATATCTTATGCTGTCCAGTACTGTAGTTATATATAAGGGTAAGTCAATAGAAAAAGAACAAATTTTTTCTAAGTAAAAGTTTTCTTAACTTTAAGCTTAAATATCTTAACAACTATTTTATTAAATTTAATAAAATTTTTTATTTTAATTCTATATAATTTTAAAATTAAAATAAAAAAATTTTTAGCAAATTTGATTAAATAGTTGTTGAGTTATTTAAATTTAAAAATTAAAAAAAATTTTACTAAAAATGATTTGTCACTTTTTTACTAACTTACCTCTATATATAACTTTTGGTTATCTATTGAAATAGTTTATTTGCAAGTTCTATACTAGCTGTTATATCTGTAATCTACTAGAAGATTACTTAATTAAATATTCTAATCTTTATATTATATCTTATAAATAACTATACAAGTTTCTATATATCTAAGTATTATCTAACCTAATTTTGATCTTTCTGTTTATATATTTGTTAAGTTATTATATATTTTAGAATATGTTATCTAATTGTAAAGCTTCAAGAGTCTTTTGCTAACTAACTATCTATATTTAGTTTTTGTTAATAGGACTTATCTTTGCAAAGTTTATACAGATCCTAGTATTACTTCATAACATATCTCTAGTACTTATAATATATCTTTGTTTTTGGCATCAAATTTCTAATTCAGATAACTCAGAAAGACTATTACCTGTTTTAGTATATTAAGATTATTTGATATCTAATATTCTTTTCTTTTAGTTCAAGCCTTCTAACAGTCTAATTGATAGTACTTCTTAACTAAAATTCTTGTCTGCCTAATTTTTTCACATTAATATTTGTTTTTTAAATTTAGTCTTTACAGTAATATTATTAAAAATTTGTGTTACCTCTTTACTAAGATTTTTTCTAAATAGACTTTTTGTTTTTTAATTTTAACAGATTTATATAATTACAAGAACTTATCTAGTATTTGTACTATCTGATACAAGTTTATATTTCTTCATACAACTTATTACACAGATGCTATTACAAAGTAGATTTTAGCATAATATATTATATAATAGTATTAGTAATTATATATAAAGAATGGTGATCCTAGTGTAGTGGTTGGGTTGTCATTCTCCAAATGGCAGGTCTAAGGTTCAAATTCCACTTACAACGAAATTTGGAAATTATATTTGTAATATAGAAACTGTCTTCTGTCGATCAGTTGACCTTATGCGGCTGTAACCCAGGTACACCAAGTCAGGGTCCTACTGACATTGGGAGCTCAGGGCATCTATGCAAAGTGTAACGTTACATGGTACATGTACATAGAGGAATGTTAATAACCGGTGTTACATAAGACTTTGGTGCAAACCCACAATAAGACCACTGGGCGTAGAAGACTAAGGAACCGAGAAGATGGAATTCTACTTGGAAATTCCCAAGTAAAAAGGTAGCACAAACTTTTGCCAGTGCTGTTAGACTAATGGAAGCCCACAAAACACCTTCATAGGAACCAAAGATTAAAACTAGATGTCAAGATGTGTAGAGGAGCATATAACCAACCAGCCTGTCAGATTCGCTGAAGGAAAAAGATACTAAGGTATACCATATTGGGCTATCTGGGTTGGTAGTCTGAAATGAGACTGATAGTTCTAAGTTGCG